AGCCCTTTGGCCGTTCCTCACTTTATCCCCCGGCCTCCGCTCACTGTAGGCCGCCGTGTGTGATGCTGTGTTTCGTTGTGATAGCGAAACTACTTTGTTTGGTCTTCCAAAATTGGACACGACTAGAAATCAGTGGTTAAGTTGTATTTACAACACTGTTCCAGAACACTTCAACCCAAATATTCAGATGTGTCCAGTCATTTTATGGAGGGACTGTTTCCTGATCCTGTAGAGTAGACTACAATGCCGGCTGTTCTGACTCACAGCCTGTAAGTACATTTTTTATATTTAAAGAGCTTTTATATTTTATATATTTAAAGTGAGTTTTTTGGGAAGTGTAGAGTAGGGCTTGTTGTTTGTCCTTTCTCCGATCACAAATGCAGACATGGTTTTATGTTTACGCGGCGCGATGCAACGCAAAGCGTAAAAAGACAGTATAAGTCATTATAATCTGTAATTATGTCCCCACTGGATGCAACAAATGCCTCGTTTATAATGGGTTTTCATGTTTTTGTCTCGTCGCTCTGGCCGGACAGGGCATCACAGTATGGTGAGGGGCGTAACATTTCCGTCACACGCTTGAGGTATTTGGCCAATCACAACGCACTGGATAGCTGGCCAATCACAGCACACCTTGCTTTTCAGACCGATGAGTTCTGTAAAAATCGACGTGTTTCAGAAAGGCGGGGCATAGAGGAGAGACAATAATGTACAGTATGTGGAAAATAATTTGTTTTTTTTAACCTTAAACCGCATAAACACATTTCATTACACCAAATAATGTTATTTTTAGCAACATCACATGACCCCTTTAAGAATCCGTTTTGATGACAATTGTGAATAATACCAAGTTACCACCATTTTATTTGCTATAAACTATGGTCAACATGGTACAATTTTAAGAAAAAAGCATTGGATGCTTTAGATTTTTCTCAGTTGCAATGCAGGCTTCTTCTTCAGTTTCAATGAGACTTTCGGATAAACAGTAAACACTGTATATTATGCATGACATGTGATATAATCATAATCAATGATATTAAAATAACACAGTTCTGTTTGAAACCTTATGGGAATATCTTGCCTCATAGACTTCCATTGTAAGTGCTTCACCTTATTTAAAAAAATTTTTTTGTCTATATCACAGTTGCAACACTGTAAAAAGCAGATTTGTTAAATATCAGATCTATACCCCGCAGGACCAAAATTCAGCTCAACTGGTTTGAATGTCCTTCTCAGACATGCTATAAATCAGTGATCTGTGACATTGACTTCATCACTTACACCTGAGGGCCCAACAGTGCTTTGAGGGACAGGGTCTCTGGTTACCATGATACTGATCGTCTGGCAGATGTGCACAGCTGTGATCCAGTTAAATGGAATGGAGCAGGACACAGTTTGCGTTTATTCACTGCAGACTGATTCAAAGGTGACAATCACACAACTGCATTTCTTAAAATCTAATGAATGTAACTAAATAACCTGTTGTTTAATCCATGCATGCAGGAGGTTTACATAAACACATAACATAAGAGCTTTTTTCCTAGCAAAAAAAGTACCATGGTACAGAATCGTATAATACTTTGATATGTACCTATAGAAAGGTATTTACGCGGTATTCAAAAGAAGAGACCCGTGGAAGAATGTGGCAGTGTCATTGTTTATGTACACAGCTGTTCAGTTCTCAACCTAAAT